GTATTTTTGCTGAGTGTTTTTGAGATAAAATCTGGGAGCCCAAGCATGTTTGGAGGTTTGGGGAGTTTATTAAGAGGAAATGCTTACTGTTAGAGTTCATCCAAGCAGATTTTTCCATGGTAGCTTAAAGATCTGCCATACTCAATCACATTTAAAAAAAAAAATAAATCTCTTAACCTTTCTCTTTTGATGAGTAAGGTAAAGAAGGCTCTTAGTACAGTTACAGTGTCTTTCAGAACAGAGGTTCTGATGGGTGCCATTTGAGTGGGTTTTAACATCTCTTTTTTAATTTCTGTGTCCAGACTTTTTGCTAAAGGTGTTTCTCCTTTGCAGCAGTGACAAGAGGGATCACCACTCAGTTGTTCCAGTTCCCAGACAGGTCTTTGGCCCAAACTGACCTTTTGGGCTTTTTTCTTCGGGTGGGTTAAGATGCAGGGTTGTGACCTGGGCCACCTCATTTTGGGATGTCATCCATGGCTGTTGCTGTGAGTTTGATGACTTTTGAGGTACACAGCGAGGGCGTCTTAATACCCTGCAGCAACATTCACTGGAAACTTCTAGTTTCACACATTTTGTCTTCGTGCTCATGAAAAAAGCTTAGGAAAAAGGACACAATATCTCCTGTAATTCTTTCATTCCAGAACAGTTTAAACACCAATATGCTGCTGCTGGATCAGGCAGTGTCGGTTGCGCTTTCTCGCCTCTGTGCCTCTCCTCTCCCATATGTCAGTGCAGTGCTCTGTAGATATTAACATCAGCCTGAGAACAGTGTAATTAGTTTTTCAATAGGGCTGTTAAGTCCAGGCACACTGCCATGCTGCTGTAGCTCTAATAATTCTGTTTCTAGGGCTAGCTTCCTCTGAGTTAGTGTAGTTATCTCTTTTCTGTGGAACTGCACTTATGTTCCTCATTAGCCTCTTTTTTTGGCAAGTCTATTAAATTGCTGGGTGACCCATGGTAACTGACTTAATTACAGTGACCTCATGAGCTCATTCATATATTGAGTAGCATTGGTTTGATAGAGGATTTTGCTTTTCCTTTTATTAAAAAATATTTATTACATTATTAGAAGTTAATTTAATATCTATATTCATGTTATTTCTATTCGGTATATGGTTTAATTATTAAAATATAATTTAATATTCATACATATATAAATTACTGCTTATTAAAAATTCAGTGAAAACTTAGTGTTAAACAAACATCCCATTCAGCGCTATCTACAGGAAAAAGGTAATTTTTTAGAAAGCAGATGTGTTTAAAAATACACTTTTCTTTCTTACTGTTTCAAATCTTTTTTTCTTTCTTTTTTTTTTTTTTTTTTT